AGGGGCTCTACTCCCGCATATTTAGGGGCTAGGGACTGTCAGAAGAACCTAGATTATGCTTTGCAGTGGTAGAAGGACTGGCATATGCACATCTGGCTTGCAAGCATGCTGTGTTTGTACACCTTGGCTGTAAGCGAAGAAATTTTGCTTTCATGTGAGAAAATTAAAAGAAGAAACAGAAGATTAGATTAGGCAAAGGATTTTAAATGATTCCCAGTGAGACTTCAGGAGTCTGGAAATTATTGGACTCTGCTTAAGGAGAATTTTTAAAAGATTACATCTTTTAAAAAAAATTAATTTCCATGCCTTTATCCCAGATACTAAAATCTGAGGAAAGACAACCAGGCTAAGAATATCCTGAATAGACAGAGCTTTCCCTATATGTTCCGACTTGCAATCAGCTTGAGAGAATATACAGGTGACAGAAAATCTGCAGCACTGGGTTCTCTGACTATTGAAGATTACCTGCGGTTTAACATTTTTAGTAGGCAAAAGTTATAATAGAATTTATGTAAGTAACAAATCTTCATGACACTGAAGATATAAATACAAGCAAATGAAGCAAATTTTATCTTATATAGCTGCAATCAAATATTAAATGCATAGAACTATTTTTTATTCATGTAACTGTTAAGTCTTAAACAGACACTAACAGATTAGTGTCAAATAAAATATTATGACAGGAAATGTATGCCTTTCTAGGCAACCTTCAGCTCTAGCACAAGACAGAAGTTTTCTTTTAAAATGCAGTTTTTTTAATGTACTACGGCGTTCACAGAGCAAACCACTAATCTACTTTATATATAGCAATTAAAACAGAATATTCTGGAAAAAAACTTATTTACATTTGAGATTTATAGCAATATCTGACATCTACCTATTTTAAGATGGAAATACGCCAAGTTAAAATGAATTATGCAAATGTTTCTTTATGAAGACAAGAATTAGTTACTTATTACTATTTGCAGGACTATTTGGGATATTAGTCTTGTCAGATAACTTCTCCAGTATTCCATATAGGAATCATAGGACATTTTTATATATCAAAACACTGGCCAGTTGAAGACTGTGATAATTCAGCAGCTTTTGGGAACAGTACTAGCTCATTGTGTCTGATGCCAATTTACAAGGGAAGGTTTCCCCTACCAGTAAAGTTACAGATCTTGAAAAGGGCAATTTCAGTTAGAATAAAATTAGGGCTTGGATGTAAAAAAGGCTTAACACAAAATACGATATTTTTTAGCTGGACATTACTGTGCATTTAAAAAAGGAAAAGATACTTTCATGTCTTGTGCATCAGAAAAGAAAAAATCATGTGAAGAAGGAAATAATTGCTTAAAACAGTAAGACCTGGGGATTCAGCTAGACTGACCTGAAGGATCGCCAGCAGAAATGCTAGCAGAAAACTGAGACTTTCTGTACTATATAATGGTTCCTCTAAGTACAAGGAGCAGTAGCAGCTCCAAGAATTCAAGGAACTTTACAAGTCAAGCTAATAAATTTATTTTAAAACCTATGAATTGTGTATGAATTACTAAAAACCTGCCATTTTAGTGTGACCATTTAAGCCTCCTAATGAATAAAAGGAAACTTATACAGTAATTTCAAATATAACACAGGATCACATTTCTCCTTTAGAACTGTCCTGATTTTGTACCAATATACTAATGTTTACCTGCAAATATGTAATTATTGTTATGGCTTTCTCTTTGCTTGTATATGTTATACTAATTGACAAATATTTCAGTAGATGTCTTTTACCTAAGACAGCAAGTCATTTTTCAAGAGATTAAATATATTGAAGAAGAATGTGTACTTTTATCTGATTTCATTAGTATGCAACAGAGTAATAAAATAATTCACCAGTGAGTAGCTTCTCTAACGTTTTTCCATTATCTATATAAACAGTTCTTATCAATACGATAGTTAAAAATTTTTAAACAATTACAGTTAATGATAATTAATTGGTGTATACATCTTAAAGGCATTTTTGTCCCTGTAGGAAACTATAGATATTTCTGTTATTTATTATTATAAATATTATGTGGTTGTTATTATTATACCACATTTTTATGCTATAGTTTGTGAACTGTACTATATTTTGTGTTAATACCTATTGTTTCACACCCCTCTCATGCAACCAGGAAACTAAAATATAAGATGAAAACCTAATCTTGCATAATCTGTATTACTATTTTCTCCTTTCAGCACTAGTTTTGTACACAATGGAAACTATTGCAACAAAACAAGAGAAATGACATTTTATGAATATGTAAAGCACCTGGCACAGTAGACATCTAACTGGTCTTGGAGCTACTGTAGTATTCTGATTCCCTATCTACAGCACCATGTTATACTAAACAAGCAGTTAAGAATAATTAAAACTAAAATTGAACATAGCAAAATTTTCCTCGAATATGTATCCATTGTACATTGTTATCCATCTATTATGTATTTCCATCTGAAATATCTAGAAGAGAAAAACTGCATTTCACTAGTGCTAGCAACAGAAGAAATAACATGAATATTAAAATTTAACTTAAATACATATATATTTCAATTTTACAGATGGCTATGTTCTGAGAAGCAATTTAGTTGAGAAGTAAGTACAAAGTGATCTTTTTGAAAAATTTGTAACTGACAATTTTGTTCTAAACTGTTTTGTTAAATAAAAGTGAAATGTAATTATTTTAGTATGTCATTCTAGTCCTGCAAATTGAGTTATTTTTATGTGGTTTAGATTTCTCAAGAATCAGTCACATATATCCATGCATTGCTTAACCATAAACCCTGGTTTAAACCATGAAAAATTACATAAATTAAGCATTATTGGTACTAGAATCTATTACTGAACTGTACAGTAATGTGATTAAGTGTATTGATGCCATTTTCAAATGTTTAACTAAAATGGATGAATTTTTCTTTAGGTTTATTTTTATTTCTGTCTTACTGGGATTAAGCAGATTTGGCTCAGTGTTGCTCTGAATAACTGCGTGGAGTTCAGCATTTAGGTTCTAATCCAAAACTCCCGTCAGACAAAGCCTTTCCATTTCCTTCAATGGGCTTTATGTTAGACCCTTAAATATGAAATCAGATGTCACTTTTAGAATTGAGGCCTGCAAACACTTATACACATGTTTAACTTATATATATAAATAGCTTTATTGGCTTCCATGGGCCTGTTCATGTATCTAAGTGACATATTTTGAAAATTCCTATTCAGGGAGCATGTATCATTTATAGACGTTACCTAAATTCATTATCTAAAAAGCTGCTCCTCCAAATCCATTATGGCATTGCCAAGCACAGAAAGAGATAAGAATTCCAAGGGCATACTGATTTTTTTTACTTTTCTGGTTTTTTGAATTTTAAAAAATCAGTAAATATTTCATTTTTTATGGAAATGTCTCTATGAGTTTGTTAGATTACTTAATTAAGGTTACTTAAAACCTTACTTAAAAAGCCCAACCTTTTAATAAAGCAAGCCTTTCACGTTAAGAAAGAAATGTATCCATCTCTACCTGCACTGAAAATCCTTTGACCTGACCATGTTGCTCAACACTGTTCTGTTACCACAAAGGTTGCACTTTCCTAATTAGCAAATGACTTACTTGATAGCATGTCTGCACCATACTGCTACATTATTTTGTATCTGCATGCAAATAGTAATATATATCTGATGTGTCAATTTTTAATACATTATTTTTCTTTTTTTAACTTACAGTGATGGAGAGATTTACGATGATATTGGCGATGGTATGTTGAACATTTCAAACAATACAATAACTGTACTCAATCACACCAAATAACTTTATTCTTGAGTCAAAGTACTACACAATACTAATATTTTTGCATTTTATTTCCATTTCAGATTGCATCTATGATAATGACTGATGAAGAATTCTATGCAAGTAAGAGCTTCGTTGAAGATCAAAATCTATTTCAGACTTCCTAATTGTCAAAGCAAGAGAAGTCACTAAAGGCGATTACAAGTTAATCGGTTACACTCTTCTAAACGTACAATTAACCTTTTTTAGGATTTCAGGGTTTTGTCATCCCTTGCTTTGTATGACATTCGTATTGCCATTTATCTGAGCAATTAGAATTCAGGGAACATGAGCTAAAGTTAAGGTTACATTTTCCACTTGCTTTCCACATTTATGACAGTCCATGTAAAAACAGTTCTTCAATTAGCTATACCCAAAGAGGCCAGTTCAGGTCTGTGAAGGATACAGAGGACAACAAACCCTGGGAACAAGTTTTACTCTGGCTCTGGTCTGTTAAACACCAGAGACTGCCACTCTGGGGAGGGCAGTATCCTGAAAAGAAATGCTTCCTTTGGTGATAACATCCTGTCGTGAAAACAGGAAATCAAAAGTGGGCATCAGAGAAGACAATACATTGCTGACCTGCCATTCCAACCGCAGCAGCATTAGCTGCACTGACATGTACAGCCATGTACCATTATTGCTGAAATTTCCTTTTCTACATTGTACTAATGATAGAATACCATTGTCTAAAACTTATTTGACCATTTTGTAAGTGCTTTTTGACTAATATTGGTAGTAAAATAGCAACAATGTTATATGTGTTACATACAGCACTCTGAGATACAAACCACAGAAGAGTCTGCTTTATAGTATAGCATTGCTCAAAATATATTCAGAACATTTAGGTTAAGATTTAATTTCTGTTTAGTTTGAAAGTATGTTGTTGTTGTCACTATAGTAATTTAGGCATTAAAATGGACCTATAAATTTAGGATAAACTGGTTGGAAATAACTTCTAGATTTATCACGCCATTTTGATAATATCTTTTTCTTCTAAGTACTATATTTTACACTAGACTTGGCTAAAAGAGAGCATAGAAATTAAACATTTCCATGCTTATCCATTGTAGAAACAACATTTATTCCTAAAGATCATTGGCGATGCTGTCATCTGAATGAGCAAGTAGCAAATCAAAGTAGAATGAACGGATGAATCATAATAATAAGTATCACTTTGCACTTATATACCAGAACTCACTGGAAATCAAGACATTTACAGTGAACTCCCAATAAAGAGGGTGACCATGTGCAGAAAATGGAACATGCATTTGTAATGTGTGATGCTTTTGCTGTACTGCAAGATAATCAAAAACCTGTAACAACCAATGTGGCTGGATCAGTGCAAGCAACTCCTCTTGATAATCAAGTCTCCTATAATCCTCAAGGGAGGTAAGGTGCACTGCTCAAACCAGTGCAATGTAGCAAGCTAGCAAGTTTAGCTAATAAACACAAAAAAAATTTGGCTCTGTTGAAGTCAGTGAGTTTTGGTCTTACGTTCAGTGGAGCTGAGATTTCATCTTACACAAGTGCCTTTTATTGACAGTTCAAAATACAGTAAATCTCTAAGGAGGTATAATGCTATGGGGATATCAAACATAAAAGTAACTGTAGAGATAATAGCCTATAAGCTAATTTATACTGTATTTAAAATCACTGATAATACACTGAACAGCTATATGCAAACTTGAGTTTCCTGTTCTATATTTGCTGTTCAACCAGCATCCAGTCATACAAATACCAGTTTTATGTGTAAGCATCAGCACCAGCACCCAAATTTAAAACATGACCTTGTATATTAACTACGATGAATGTGTCTGGCTATTTGGCCATGTCGCTGCCGGTGGTGTATTTATTTTTCAGGGGCATTCAAGAGGGTATTTGCATTAAATTAGTGATATGCCAAAGAACTGAGAGGGAACACAGACATTTAGAAATACACAACCACTTGTCAGTTAACAATAGGATAAATAGTTTCACGCTTTACACAGTCAATTATCTCAAAAAGAGTTTGTGTTTAATTCTAACATACATGCCCAGTCTTGTTTTAGTTTTAACTGGTAGTAGAACTTTATGTGTTGCAGTAAGACCAACAAAGGAACTTTCCTTTTGAATATAGTTTGTCTTTTATTAAAGGATTTCAGTAGAACACAAACCTTTTTTGTTCCCCTGAAAAAGAAGTGAACTTTATTCTTTGTGAGATTTTTCAGTCGTATATGTTGAATAGCTTTTCCATGTTCTTAGCCTTGATGTGTTGTAGATACTGTGTTTCCTTACTGATTATACTGACTGAATTGGTCTTATGATACATTAAATCATCAGAAGAAATAATCAGAAGATACTTGAAGCCAAAAATCTGTGCATCGTTTGCACAGATCAAATATGTGATTGTTACAGGGTGTTGAAATGTATTTATAAGGTACTACACAGTGAAAAATTACTGGTATTGTATATTTTTTCTTTTCTTTATTTTACCAATGTCATTCACTGGATGCATTTTTTTTCTTTCTTCTGAATAAAAGTGTGCTTTCTGACAAGAAATGTGGGTACACCATCTTCTGCTAAAGTAGAACAACAGCAGCTGAAAAATAACTTCTGAAAATTACCACTGAGCAGCTGACAGAGTGAAAATCAACTTTATTATTGCTGCAAAGGCAGCACAACTACAATGTGGCATTTGTTTGTCAGTCATTACTATCCAGAAAGTGAAATGTAAGCAGAAAATCTTCTAGACAGGAAAATCTATACTTAGGCAGTTTAAGAAAGACTGTATTTTAAGGGTTTCTCACCTGTAATTTATCCTATTATCTTTTAAAAGTCATAAGGAAAGAAAAGGAAAGCTGTTCTCATGACATTTTTCCCTCTCCAAACTCAGTCTATAATCCTGAAGTACTTGGCTGTGCCCGCTAGAACATTCAGCAGTGAAAACATCAAAATATTGACATAAAAATTAGACTTCAGCATGAACACCCCAGATAAGGTAAACAGAGCTGGTTTCCATCTGTGTTGTACCTCTATGCTGTCCCAGTAAACAGGCTAAGCAAAACAAAAACTGGGAGGGCAAAAAAGACTTCTCTAATTCAGGAGCTTTAGAGCCTTTCTCTGCTGTTACCACAGGCTCTGGATGCCTTCCTGTGTAAGAGGTTTATATTCTCGAGCCACATTAATTGCAGATCCCTTGGCTACTCCTCCCACGGTGGTAACAAAACCCCCTCTATGTGCGATCTTGTTGCATAATCCACCTCAACGGTGAAGATCAGTGCTTTAGTAAGGGGAAGGAAATTCAGTGGAGGAACCTAGATTCACTGTGTGAATTAGATTAGCCCCTACCCACTACATGACAGATACAGGTGTAAGCATGTGTGTGTGTGTGTGTGTGTGTGTGTATTTTATGTCAAATAAGACAACTTCTGAGGAAACTAATGGACCCGTAAAAGGATACCTTTATGGCTTCTGCATAGCAGCCCTAGACCATCCTACACAGAAAGGCTTTTGCATGTAGCTTCGCTACAGAGTGAAGCACTCAAATGCAAGGAGGTGCAAGAAATGAGTTTGTATTTGCACAGCCTCAGTTCTGCCTCCTCGTGTGGATGCGTCTTTAACTGCGTGCGCAGTCTACAATTACATGATGGCTCAGTATTTTTTTCCACAGGATCCCCACCTCATTTAGTGCATGGGCTGGTTGAGAGTTAACAGAAAAGGCAGTTATTCAGCCCTGCTCATTCAGCTTCTGGCCACTCCTTTATTTAGTGCAAATCTTCCCAAGCCTGTGCTGCACCCAGAATTATTCGTTTCTCATGGCATTCATCACAATGATGTCTCAGACTCCCATGAACAGTAATGGATTTATCTTCTGAGACAGGAAAATATTTTATCCCCATTTTTAATGTATGAAAGGAAGGCATGAACAGAGGACAATTTGTGGCATGTATCCATCAATCCTGGATATAAAACCAAACTGCTAAAGCTAAATTAATTATATTTTTAGTACTTTCCTAGATTAGGACTCTCACTATTTTCTCTTCCTCTTCTTTGCCTCTACTTGTGGTTAAACACAAAGAGAAGAGAGAAAACACCTTGTGTTTATAAAGTATTAGCATCCAAAATGTATATTTTAAATATACCACGTATACAGTAATAAAAAGGGGGCAGATAGGGGATACTGATTAAAACTTAATTTAAATAATAGTTTAGATTATATTCTGAAACTTAATAAAAACTGGGGACACATTCTAGAATTGAGTGGTGTACATTGTTATCTCCACTTACATCACTCGCTGTCTCCCAACTCCCGTGTCGACAGCAAGTTTGTTGGCATGGTTTTGAGTCAGGTCTACGGCTTTTGCCAGAATTAAACCCTTACGTGTACATGGTCTGGGGATATGCCAGGCTGAGACACCCAAACCAGTTCTGAAAGAACTAACTTACTTATAAGAAGCCATTCAACCAGGATAGTGGCGTAGCCCTCCAAGCCCTCCAGCTCGACTGCTCAGCCTGTCTAAGAAACAAGGTGGTAGTGCAGCTGAAGGGTCATCCCAAGCAGTTTCCGGCATCCTAGCCATCTGGAAGATATCTCTGTGCCACTCAGGTTAGCCACGGTACTGCAGAATGCCACCGCGACATGTCCTAGCCTTGTGAAGAGCAGCAGCGTGGTAGCCCCAGGTCCCCTTCTTTGCCTGGGTGGAACAAAATTACAACGATCTCACAAAGCCTTTCTTCTCTGTGTTTCATTCTAGCTAGCTGGCTCCTGAACATACATAGAATTTGTTACATTATCTCTATTTGCCTCCTTCTAAAGCACTTCGAAAGAGAGGATTAAGCTGTTATTAAATGTACAGAGTTCCTTGCTCGAGGCTTTTTATATTATGGGCCTTGCTGAAAAAAATATGGGAAACTGCGTTTATTTTCTTTCTTAACACACAGACACGTAAATACTGCTTGAACTTAAAATGTTCACTGTTAGGCAGAAAGGAAATATGCAAAATGTCAACACGAGCGTGAATGAAATGTGAATTAGACGGATACCAGGGGTTTTAAGAAACATTATACAATTTGCATTACTTCAGT